GTTACCAAGGGGCCTGGTGACTCATACCTGTAATCCTAGCTACTCAGGAGGATAAGATCCAAGGATCAAGGTTCAAAGCCAGGCAGGCCTGGAAAGTCTGTGAGACTCTTATCTCCAGTGAATCACCAAAAAGTCAGAAGGGAAACTCAAGGGGTAGAGTACTAGCTTTGAGAAAAATAAAGCTCAGGGACAGTGCCCAGGCACTGAGGTTCAAGTCCAAGGACTGGCACAAATGACACTGGTAGTTGCATTTGTAAGGAAATGGTTAAGTAATTAGACAACTACATCCAGGTAATTAAAATAGTACACCATTTAGGTTCCACGTTGGTGCCCTTCATCCTGACCTATGAAGGATGCATGTCTGTAGCAAATGTTAGAAAATATGCTGATCAGATGTGAAAACCTCACACTGAAATGAACAGCTAGTATGCCAGCTAATAATCACCATGTGAAAATACTTCAATCAACTATAAAAATAGGTCAAAAACTAATAAAATGTATATAATCACAAGGAGAAAATAAGAAGCATCAGAGATCAAGTCTCTCTCGTTCCTCGCTCTTTGGCCCTAAACTTTATATCAAACAGAAATATTGACTGATCTACCTTTTCAAAATGCTTGTGTTTATCCTTAACAATAATTAATTGATAAAGAGGTGATCTTGCCATTCTGTAGATCTCCATAATGCCAATTCATGAATAGTTACATTAAAATCAAATGTATCATCTATAATTTAAAGGACTCAGCACCACTTTCTCTCTCTCTCTCTCTCTCTCTCTCACACACACACACACACACACACACACACACACACACACACCTACACATAAACAATTCTCCTAATCAGGGTTGGTTACAGCAGGCTGCTCAACCTTTGTACACGCAGACTCTGCATGGAATAATAAGTGTCAGGTCCCTAACCTCTGCAGATGTGTGCCCAGGAGGGATTCAAGGAGCCATATGTGCACAATGATTATACGCATCTTTCCGCAAACTCCAAATTCTGGAACATGTACCCAAGGGTATTCATGAGCTGACAGTGTACCTGCTAGATTGGGGTTTTATATAAATATCCATATTTTCAGCCACTAGGAATGAGGATTCATTTTCCTTGATATTCTTTCCCAAAATGATTTAGAATAATTACCCTTATTTTTACTGTCTTCCAAATTTAGAAAAACAAATGTAATTTTCTTATGGAAATATATATGTATATATTTGTATATATGCATATATATAAAAAGAATGTGCAATGAACTTTCAACACTCTTTGTGGACAGCTTCTAAGGACTGCAGTGATCTTGGTTTTTTTCTTTTTTTCATATTAAATAATGATTATTTTTTAAAAAAGAGGACAACAGCAAATCAGCTACAGAGAATAAAAGTCCTATTTAATGTACACTGAGTGTAGACTTGCTTTTCATTAAGTCTCTTCAGCATATATATTGGGAGAGATTCAAGAGCTCTCTAAGCTTTGATGACTGTCTAGGGAATTAACTGATTAAACATCTTTTGAAGAATATCTAACTGGGATTTTGGTCTTCATATTGTTTCAGTATTATAAAACAACTATTTTGTTTGCTTACTATTTATTGAAAAAATATTTCTATTACATGTAGCCCTTTCTACTTAGATACTAACCTTATGAATTTAATATCTTAAAACATTATTACAAGGTATCAAAAAATCCAGATTCTTTGACTGTCTTATGTACAAGGCTCATATTCAGCAGAGTAAATACTATCCTACCTGTGTTTACTATTACAATATATGTTTAGTCCATAGATACATGTGTAGAAGATACCCTTATTTAACAAACAGTTGAGTACGCACTACATTTTCGTTGATCTGCAAGAACAAGATATACCAAGTGGTACAGATGATGAAATTAGCTCACAGAAAAACTACAAAAAGGGAGCTAGATTTAAATAATATATTATATATAATATTAATATATAATAATATATGTTAATAATATATATAATACTATATAACCTGAACCAAGTTTTACTGAATGAGGATTAACAAAGGAGGTACCATAGCAGAGTGCTTGTGGCCCTGTGATTGTATATTTGATGTTCATAAGCACTGGTCTGAGTCCATGATGTAATTTTTTTTAATCTTGGACCATAGTCATTCACAACATATATGAAACTTAAATATGAAAATGTTTTAAAATGATAGCACTGTCCTGAAATATAGTTAAAAACTCAAATATTATCTGTTATCATTAGTGCCAGAAAATTGGTTTAAAAAATCATAAACCATCAGCAGAAAGTGGGGGAGAGAAGGAAGGAGGAGGAGGAGAGGGAAAGGAAAGAAGGAGGAAGGAAGGAAAGGAAAGGAAGGAAGGGAGGGAGGGAGGGAGGGAGAGGGGAAAGGGAAATGAGAAAAGGAAGGGAAAGAGGTATAACAAAGAAAGAGAAATGAGTATTCACATGTTGACATTTGGTTAGAAAAGGAAAAGGAAGGTTTGGGGAAAACCATGAAATAGTGACATGTGAAGTATCTTTGACACATCCATTGAACTGAAAAATGTGATTGGAAGACAAAGAATAATGTTTAAATATTGTGGTACATATAGAAAGAGGATTCAAAAGATACTGCAGATTAAGGACTTGGAAGATAACAAGTGAGTTATTGGAGTAGGAAGAAATTGCAATAAAACATAATTCTGAATTATATGTCTCCATGATTGGGAAAAATCCTAAGGTAATATTATTCACAATATTAAAAATCTACCAGGGAAGATCCAGTTTGGTGTTCGTGATCAGTTCAATGAGTGACAAAATTGTGGTTCTAATTCCAAGTGACAAAGTTTTTTTGTCATGCAGCTGAGAGATGCTGACCATGAACTTGTGAGAGCAATTCAGAATGGAGATACAGATGTGGCCGTCAAGTATCCACCTACAGACAGAGGATTGTTGAAATTATAATGTCAGCACACTGAAAAGAAAGTAGAAAAGCCAGGCCTAGAAATTTCCATCATTTTTTTTATTGTAAACATGCTGTACAGAGGGGATACAGTTATATGAGTTAGGCAATGAGTACATTACTCATCGAGCATTGTTACACCCTCCCTTATAATTTTCCCACTATCCCTTCCCTCCCTCACCTCCACCACTCCTCCCCCCTCCACAAGTTGTAAAGTTATTTCCAATATACTGTCCTGTGTGTATCCTTGTTGCAATGGTTCATCTTGTGTTCTTGTTTCAGCATTTTGTTATTCCCCTTCCCAAATTAGATAAATATATGTACCAGATGCAGAGTACCAAAATCTAGTACCATGACAACAGGGTACATACCATAGGGAGAAAAACATACAAAGGAAACAAAAAAATCACATAGTATATTAAAATCAACAACAAAAAAGAAAGACCTCTTGTGTCCATATCTTGGGGTTCATTTCGCTTAGCATCATCTTATACAGTCATATGTACATAGCTTTTGAGCTTTCCTGCTTATCTGATAAAATTATCCCAGATATATACTAATTATTGCAAATGAGGGAAACCATGGGACCTATATTTCTTTGGGCCTGGCTTACTTCACTTAATACAATTTTTCCAAGTCTTTCCATTTCCTAACAAATGAGGCAGTGCCATTCTTTCTGATGGAAGCATAGAATTCCATTGTGTGTGTATATGTGTGTGTGTGTATATGTGTGTATGTATGTATGTATATATATACCACATTTTCTTGATCCATTCATCATAAGTTTTTGACTACACAAATGAACTGCATAAATAATGTAAACTTTGTCTCTGTTTGAAAGCGTATTGTCATTTAGTGCTAACGTAGAAAACATTTTTAAAAGGACATTCAAGGGCATAAAAAGTAGTCTCAAAAATAAAATACCAAAGAGAATATGGAAAGATGGCTTTAAGAATAGTCAACCCTTCTTTAACATGGACCTTGAACTGAAACAAAAGATTCTCATTTTAAAAGTGAAAAACAAAAGAAGAGAATCTTGACAGCATACTAATTTGACAAACATTGTTACATTCTTCCGTTTTGTTTCACGAAACAAAGTGTTTCTTACTGTTGATGAAACATCCTCTTTCTGCCACATATTAAACACACTTCCAATTAATATGAAGAGCAAAGCAATGTGTAAGTGCAGGAAAAATCTTCATTGGTGACAGAAGAAAATTCTAGTTCTTAAAGTAAAAGAGCAAGTAGTATATAGGCAGCTCACACATGTAATCCTAACTATTCAGAAGGCTGAGATCTAAACACCTGAAGATCTGATTTCAAAGATACCCTAGACAGGAAAGTCCATGAGATGCTTATCTCCTGCGAACCTCCAAAAAGCCAGAAGTAGAGCTGTAACTCAAATGTTAGGGCCAGCTTTGTACAAAAAGCTGAGGGAGCGTTCCCAAGCTCCCCATTTCAAGCCCTAGTACTGGCACCAGAAAGAAAGAGAGAGAGAAAGAGAGAAAAAATAGAAGGAGACACAGAGACACACAGAAAGGGGGAGTGAGGGAGTGAGGGAGGAAAGAAGGAAGGAAGGAAGGAAGGAAGGAAGGAAGGAAGGAAGGAAGGAAGAAAGGAAGGAAGGAAGGAAGAAAGAAAGAAAGAAAGAAAGAAAGAAGGAGGGAGGAAGGGAGGGAGGGAGAGAGAAAAAGAAAGAAAGAAGGAAGGAAGAAAGGAGGGAAGGGGAGAGAGAGAGAAAGAAAAAGAAAGAAAGGAAAGAGGAAGGGAGGGTGGGAGGGAGGGAGAGAGGAAGGGTAGTAAAAGAGCATCAGATCTGATTAACTAGTGGATTCACTTAAATCAGAATGTTTAGATAATGAAATATATTCTTAAGACATAACAAGTGGGTGTGTTATCAAAGCATGTCTCACAATGAAAATCAAGACTCCTAATGTAAATATGAATGTTTAACATTCCTGTTCCCCCTCATCCTAGCCATCCTAGTTACGATCAGAAGTCCTCATATGAACACAGAACTGATGTGGTAAAGCAAGCCCTCTGAATCCTTTCTGTGGTGTCTTTCAGGATGTCATTGGGAAGGCTTTGAAGTATGTGGGAGCATTTGGTGATTTGAGCACCCTGGAGCAGGTTGTAGCCATGATTGACGAGGACACATGTATCAACTGTGGTAAATGCTTTATGACCTGTAATGACTCAGGTTACCAGGTAAGAAACTTGCTGGAATTAAAGCACATTCCTTCTGGTTTGGGGGACAAGAAACATCATCTCCTATGGCTCCGAAGTACAAATTCAAAGCAGTTAGAGAAAGACAGAGAAATAGTACACCAACAAGGAAAGCAAAATGGATCTGAACTAAGTGGCCCAAGCTCAAGCATGTGGGCCATTTTAAAATGCAGCTTTCTGGGATTCAGAGCATCTGCCAGGGGTTCATGGTAATGAGCATGGACTGATGTTAGGTAAATGAGGAATCATAACTTGGTAGATTTTTGGAAGGTAGCAAGTTGCCATCCCATAGTTTGAAGCACATGGATAAGATAGAACCCAAGCAGATGATGCCGAGAAAGAAGTCCAAACTAAAGACTGGCTACTAATGGAGGAGAGACCATGGGAGATGGTAAGGAAGACACAGGATTGTGGGTATCTCTCAGCATAACCAGAAGAAGGATTGCTTTCAGCATAGCTAAAACCATCTATGCCTTCTATTTGACTTCTGCACAGATGTATCTTTCTGACTTCTCACTCTTAACACAAGTAATTTTTTATAGGACAGAGGCCATTTATAATATGCCACCCTTTCATTTGCTTTATTATTTTAACATCATTCCATCACCCATAAAATTGGAGGGAGAAATCCAACTGCAAAGAGAAATTGGCACCAAATTGCAGACATTAGGAAAGCATTAGACTTTACTACTGAGGGAATATTGCCCTCCCCCTGAATGGAGTTGATTGCTTGGGCCTAGAGAGAATTGTCCTCCATTCAGTATTGATTGTTTGCACTTTCTCACCAACTACTTAGGAAGGTTGGCCCCAGAATTCGTTTGTATCTGGAAAAACCAGCGAGATGTATTTTTGCCACAGGAAGTGATTTCTAGGTAGTTTCTTCATTGGGTTTGCCATAGGGTAAAGAAATGAAAACAAAACAAAACAAAAAAACAGGGATTTGAGTCATTCTGCATGAGCTATGCTCTCAAAAATACATCTTAGGAACTTCTCTCATAATATCACTTTTCTTCATTTTCTTCTTATGTAATTATGAACTCTTATTTTTGACCTTCAACTAACAGAGTTTTCCAAATGCATAAAGGATAATAGTGAAGCCTTTAACAGTCTTAGAGATTGAACTCAGGGCCTGGGCACTGTCCCTGAACTTTTTGTGTGCTCAAGGCTAGAACTCTCACATGAGTCATAGCTTCACTTCTATTTTTCTGTTAAATTGATGATGAGATTCTCATGGACTTTCTTACCCTAGATGATTTTGAACCACAGTTCTAGATCTCTGCCTCTTAAGTAGCTAGGATTTCAAGCCTGAACCACCAGCACACATCATTGCCCACTCTGAAAGTTTTTTGTTTTTTGATTTTTTTCAAGATAAGGAGTTTGAAGAAAGCACATTTTAAGACTTGCTAAAAAGCAAGACTTGCCTATTAAAATTGCTCTAAAAACCTATAGGATATTATTTCTATGAAAATGTTTAAGCTATAAAGGAGTATTTAAAAAGTAAGATCCTTTTAAGAAATGATCAGTGGGATATTCTAAATACATAATAAAATGCCTCATCTTTTAAAAAAAAGTGAAGTTCATTCACCTTATTCAACTGAGGGGTAGGTCCCATGTTGCTCATGAAGAAAGTTTGCATATTTTTGACAGATATATTTAATTTCTAAAAAAAATCTCTCCTTAAGTTGACATTAGTTCTACCTCAATTTTTTTTACCTAATTGATTCTGGGTGAAAAGCATCTTTACCAATTATTTTCAAAACATCAGTCATACCATTTTCGCTTTGATTGCCTCTTTCTTCTGGCTAACTGGTCAAAGACAAATCAGGCAGTCCTGTAGTTTCCTAGCATCCAAGTTTTAATATCTCCAGTCTCAGAACTTACAGCTCCTACCTTGTAACTCTAGCCTTGGTATAACGTTAGTAATAAGGGTCACTTTAATAAGTGAAAAACTCACAAGCATGGATTAGAAAAGATTTAGAAAGTACTTCTCTAGCTCTTTTGTCTCAAAAGATTAAAAAGTAATCAAAATTGAAATTCTCAACTGAAGGTAAGTTTGTAAATTTGCAACTTTTTTAAGTATAAGGTTTTTAAGCCTAATTTTTAGCACTTACAAATTCCTTCATTGGATTACTGTGTATAAAAAAATACAGAAGAAAAGAAAATTGTTTCTATTCATATAAACCTAATTTGAAATTTTTTAAAAGCAGAGTAACAATTTATGTGGAGATTTTCTTATGGTTTATAATAGTTACAGTGCCTGGTCAGCTATTATAGAATTATTTCCTTTAAAAGTAACCTTTCATGCATTTAGGCAACTTATCTGGATTTATTGTGAAAAGACCATTTCACTTTTAAGTCCATAAAAGTAAGGGAAAAAAATAAAAGGTTTCCTGTCACTTCAATTAGGAATTTTTTGATTCTACATTATCTGAAGTTTCAGTAGCCATGAGTTTAACTAATGTTTTTACCAAAACTATATGTAAAATAATTGTATCTATTACTAAAAGTAGCTTTCTTTTCATCGTTTGTGTGTGTGTGTGTGTGTGTGTGTGTGTGTGTGTGTGTGTGTGTGTGTGTGAACTCTATTTGCAGCATTTATGTTACATTAGGTATTACAAATGACTTGTTTTAACTTGTTGAAATTTGTTCTGGGTTGGAAGAAAGAAAGAAGAAAGGAGGGAGCCAAAGGAGGGATGGAGGGAAGGAAGAAAGAAGGAAGGAGGGAGGGGCCTGGCCCAGGTTCTCCGGCTGAGGGGGTCAGGGCTGGGATGGATTTCTACTTGATGCTTTCTCCCTTTTGTGATTGAGCAATGCTTAAAATTAACTTGGAACTCCTCAACGTTCAAACTTACTATTATGCTAGCTGTTTTTTTATTCTTCCTTCTTTTTCTACTCTTTTCTTCTACACATATTATTTAAAATGTAAACCAGTTTAGTTCATTACCCCACCTGACAGTCAAGCCTTTCCAGGGTGTGAGGAGCTGGAGGAGGAGGAAGAGGAAGAAGGACAGGGGGAGGAAGAGGAAGAGGAGGAAGAGGAAGAGGAAAAGGAGCCCCAGGCAGGAGACTTCTTGTTCAGTTAGAACTGACCAGAGCCGTGTTCTGCTCAGACAAAGGTAGCTGGACACTTAGTTTGGTAGGAAATAGTTCCTCACACAATAAAAGAAAGTACCTCAAAGGATTTTTTTTTATTTTTTACAAAATATGTTTCTAACTTCAGGTCATTCCTTCTCTCTTCTTTTCTCCCCGGTCGGTCCAGCTGTTGCTACAGTTGCACCATGATGCTGGATGGACATGTATTTTAGAATGCAGCCCCAATGCAATGGAGATCACTATTGATGGTAAACTGAGTATGTGGCAGCCGTGGTGGACATAGCCATCTGTATTCTTTGTTTCTCTTTGCAGGCCATACAGTTTGACCCGGAAACACACCTGCCCACCGTTACTGACACCTGCACAGGCTGTAATCTCTGTCTCAGTGTCTGCCCTGTGATCGACTGCATCAAAATGGTTTCCAGGACAACCCCTTATGAGCCAAAGAGAGGCTTGCCCTTAGCTGTGAAGCCGGTATGTTAGAGCGACTTCGCAAGACAGCGCCTACGAGGTGCATCGACATATCTTCATCTTTTAAAAAAAGCGTGGCCATTCTGTGTAATTCTCTCCAGATTAAAATGTCTATAATTGCTAATAAATTTCTAAAGTATTTTTTTAATCTACTGCCAGTAACCAATTAATGGTCATAGCATAGAATGATTCTTTTCTGAACATCTCTGCTGCTAGTTACTGGGTGGCAGCTAATTGGATGTTCGCTGTCAGTTGTCTGTTCTGAAAAATCAGCTTTTTTTTTTCATGGCAATTAGTGTGACAATTTCCAAATTGCCCTACGCTGTGCTCCATCTATGATTTCTAATTGTATGAGAAATTCAGTATTTTGGAACAAAGTATACGTTAACATACAAGAAAATGTTTCCCAGGAAATTGGTGCTTTATTTTAAATTAAAAATTACCTGAGATTTTATACTGTTTCTAAGAAAATATAATTTGCACCATAATGGTCAAACGAAGAAAATCAAACAGTTAGGAATCATGGCAGAGAAAAAGGGGGAACCCTAGAATTTTCTGAGGCCCTCTTGGCTAACATAGCTTATTTTGGATGCTGGATAATCACCCCACTTGCATGTCACAGGTGTCCCCACTGCTCGCCAGTGGAGCCCATGAAACCCTTCTTTAAATATTGAATGTGTTTTCATAGTGAAATTAGATGTTATGGGGGAGATCCGGTTAATGCCGTTTCTTTGTTGTGCACAGTTCTGCTGTGTCTGCTTTTAATAGTAACCTTCATGATTATAGCAATTAATGTTTGAACAAAACCCAAATTGCAAAGCACTGAGTCACATGTGTGGTTATTCAGCAATGAAAACTATAGTATTGGTAATGTACATACAATATGTAAAACAAATATGGCTACTCTGTTTTATTATTTGGGCTTAATTTCAAAGGTAATGGAATAAGCCAGACACCAGTGGCTTACACCTGTAATCTTAGCTACTCAGAACACTGAGATCTATGGATCACAATTCCAAGACAGCCTGGACAGGAAAGTCCATGAGATTCTTATCTCCAGTTAACCACAAGAAAATCAGAAGTGGTGCTGTTGCTCAGAGTGGTAGAGCACTAGCTTTGAAAGAAAAAGCTCAGGGACAGTGCCCAAGCCCTGAGTTCAAGCCCATGACCAAAAAAAAAAAAGTAACAAATGAATAAAAAGAAATTTCTATTTTCTGAAATTGAATAATATTTTAGTATTTTTCTACTGCTCTGTTCTTGTAATCAGTAAATAGCTTCTCACATAAGTTCATTTATTTCTTCTTTGTGGTACATTTTAAAAGAAATCTAAGCAGCAAATCAAGAAGTAACAATTTGTGTCATATTCCTCTGATATATGTGTGATTGAGAAATGCTTACTGACTATGGAATTTATAGGATTGAATAATACCAAATAAAATTTTATAAAGCATTTTAAGCATGGTCTTTTGTTTTCTTTTTCAAGAATGCAACTTGTATCATCCATTTAGATTTTTTAAGGGATTTTTTCTTTTTTTATTGTGAAAATACTGTACAGAGGGGTTACAATTACAGGGGCAAGATAATGAGTACATTTCTTATCAAGCATTGTAGCCTCCTCCTTTGTTTCCCCTTCCCATCCCTTCCCATCCTCCCCCCACCCCCCC